GCATTCTGGGTTATTTCGAACCTATAAGCAGTCGGCGGCTGTCTTGTTTTGGGAAGGGATGAAGTGTGATATTCAGTGTTTGGTCGCTGAATGCGAGCTTTGCCAACACGTGAAATATGATGCTCTTAAGCCAGCAAGTTTACTACAGCCCTTGCCGATACCGGAGCAGGTTTGTGACGATGTTCCTATGGATTTTATTGGGGGTTTGCCTAGGGCTTTAGGGCGTGACACGATTTTGGTCGTGGTGGACCGCCTAACCAAGTACGTTCATTTTTTCTCGTTGTCCCATCCTTTTACAGCCCGGGAGGTAGCGGACGTCTTTGTGAAAGAAGTCGTCTGTTTGCATGGTTTTAGGTGTTCATCAGTAACTTCTGGAGGGAGTTGTTTAGGCTGGCAGGTACTAAGCTACGCATGAGTTCCGCTTACCATCCCCAAACGGATGGCCAAACCGAGGTTGTTAACCGGAGCTTGGAGGATTATTTGAGATGCTTTTGTAGCAACAAGCCGAGGCAGTGGCCTAATTGGTTGGGGTGGGCCATGTTTTGGTTTAATACTACCTTTCATAGCTCGGTTGGTATGACGCCGTTTAAGGCTTTGTATGGTCGTGAGGCTCCTACTCTGCTACGTTGGGAGAACAATGGTTCGGTGGTGGAAGCTGTTAATCTTCAGCTCCGTGATAGGAATGACATTCTCCAGGAGCTTAAGGAGCGTTTAACCTCTACCCATAACAAAATGAAGTTGTATGCAGATAAGAAATGCCGGGAGGTCCATTTCCAGCCTGGTGACTAGGTTTATTTGAAATTACAACCCTACCGTCTGAAGTTGTTGGCTCATCGCCGTAATGAAAAGCTAAGTCCTCGTCTTTATGGGCCTTTTCCAATCATGGAGCAAATAGAGGAAGTTGCTTATCGTCTCCAGCTTCCATCCTTTGTGCGGATTCATGACGTTTTCCATGTGTCCCAGCTTTGGAAGGTTTTACTTCCCACTACCCCGGTGCAGCAGTTGCCAACGGCTTTGACAGAGGACATGGAACTGGCAGTGGAACCAGCAGCACTGCTTCGGTCTCAAAAGCTTTTGGATGGCTCCATTGAGGTTCTGGACCAATGGAAGGACCTCCCTAAGTGTGATAGCACCTGGGAGTCGTGGGAATTGTTATCTACTCAGTTTCCTCACTTGCACCTTGAGGACAAGGTTCTTGTGCATTGGGGGTGGGGGGTGATAAGAACCAGGAGCTGCTTGTCTACAGCAGAAAAAGGAAACGCTATGCTAGTTAATTAGTGGCTGACATGGCTTGTGCTTGTAACTGAATTCGGTTAGTGTGTTAGCATGGGAGCATGGGTTGTGACTGAGTTAGTCTATAAATAAGAGGGAACTTGAGAGGTTAGGGCAGTTTTTGGAAGTGTAGAGTTTTAGAGAGGAGAGTCGGTGATCTCTTGAATATCACCATTGTTATAGTGATTGATTGCATTTGAATAAATTTCATATTCATCTGTCTTGTTCTCTGCCAATTTGTTGAGGTTTCCATCAGTCACCAAGCATTTATGATGGCCACAACCTCGGCTGTAACCCAGATTGAGATGATGGAAAACAGTTAGCGTAAATGGTTTGCTTATGTGGTTTTCTTCTAACAAGAGACAAAATATGTTTCAAAACGTAAACAACAAAGAGATTAGCAAGCTAGCTTATGTACTTCTTTCATCTTTAGCATAAGAGTTCCAATAATCCACTAATATTAAGAAATTTGTCCCCCACTTTGATTTGAAAATTGCTAGACTTCTCATCTTTAGCATAAGAGTTTCATTTTATTGTACATCACGTGTAATCCAAAGATCAATGACAATAGAAGAAGATTCTGCTTAGACAGGTTAGACGATATTAGGAGAAATGTGTACCATAAAAAATAAAAAATAAAAAATAAAAAAACAACAACAACAAAGCAAAGCAAAGAAGTGGTAACCTGTGTAGTCTTTCCACATCCAGTTTCGCCAGATAAAAGAACTACCTGCTTGGAGAGAGGGAACAAATAAATCATGAACAACAAAGGAAGCACATTCATCCAAATAACAGACCAAGAGACAGGAATCAGGAGTTTTAGACTTCTTGTAACAAAACGATAAAAAAAATTAAAAAATAATAATAATAAGAATAAGAATAATAATAATAAAATAAATAAATAAACTCTACATGCTGAGAAAGGAAAAATGATGCATCTTTTCTTATGCTTATATGGGAAATAACATGACTAACACACACTTAGAAATGTCACATAATGCAATTTGCAATGTGAATGAGTGGATAGTTTGAAGAATAAGTATAATTAAACCTGATTAGATTCAACCGTTGAGGTAATCACATCCCTAAAGGCTGCTATTGGAAGCTTAGACCTCCCTGCAGTAACCTGCATGCATGAAATTACAAACTCTTGACACAGAGAAGCAAAAAATTTTAACCTAAAAATTGTAAGAAAGCTAACAAAAGACAATGAATTCTGTTAAGTTGTTAAAACCTGTCTCAACTGTGCATCATTCTTTATTTTAGAAGCAAGTGATTCCACCTTCTTTGCAATTTGTTCTTTGCTCATTAACGGCCTACAGAACATATCATCTCTCCACCGATGTACGTTAGGAATCTTTCCACTGATTCCCCCAACCGTCGCTTGGCCCTCTTCCCCCTCCTCAGGCGGAAAACGCGTAAATAGATCCTGCAATACCAATTCTGCTTCCTTGGAAAATGACAGAGAAGTGACGCCCTCCAATTCTTTGTTGTCTTCCGCCTTCTTTTTATTTTTGAAAACAGCAACACACCGTTGATTCCCGCGCCTATGGAACATTCATATTGAGCTATGTTAGGAATGAACAACAGAACAGAGTTCAAAAAGAAATGCGAAGTCCTTCTTCTCAATTAAGCTTAGAACTAAAATAGACAAGCACTTACCCGGAACTCTTGGATTTCATACCCCGTCTTCTGCATAAATCATGCACGAAAGCACGTTCTTGGTTTGACATACCAGCCTCAAATGTGTATACTGCAGTACAAGTTCACATATATTAAACAAAGATCTGTGAAGAACTTTCAATAATAGAATCAAAATACTGAAGCAGTTCAAAACTTAGAAAACCCTCTTCAAGTAAAGAAGTGACAAACCATAGCAAGCAATAGCATTCCAAAATCCTAATTGTTCCCAAATACCCACCAACACATTTTTTTCGTTAAATTCCTACTAACATCTACAATAATGATATTTTCAAAGAAAATGCAAGTACCATAACAAGAAAAACACAAGGAATAATAAAACTTCAAGACAAAACCAATCAAAGAGAAACGTTCCAGTGGTGTATTTTCTCAGGTACTCGAATTAATTACGCTGTCATTTTCCATGGAAGATAATCTCGAGACTCTTCAAAATATGGAAAATTAAAAATTTTTTAAAAAACGTAAGAAATAAAAAGCTATAAAACTGATTTACATTTGAAACTATGCAAACGCAGTCGTATTGTTTCGCCGTCAAAGCCAAGTCCAAATACAAATCAAAGCAAGAGCCTTTCTCAATCGCAAAGAACATGAAAATATAAACATTTGGGATTCTTCTCAAAAATCAATTATTTTCCTTTCCTTTCTTTTCTCTTCAGTTTTCTCCGCAACCAAAAATAAAAAACACGCACGCGCGCGCACACACACACACACATAATCTGGCAGTTACCTTTGGCGTTGGAGGCTTGAAACCGGTCAAGAGCTCGGCGGATATGGATCCCAGCGCCTTCAGAAACGCTAGCTTTACCTCCTTTCCTGTTTTTCCCGGCCATTTTCAGCTTCTTCTGGAAAACTCTTTTTCACTCGTCTTGTGGAAATGTGGAGTGGTTCTAAAAGACTCGTTTCCTCTCTTCCTAAATCACGCCCTTCTCTCTCTTCCCTCTCTAGTTTGAGTTTTCTGTTCTGCCGCTTTCGGCTTTGCCCTCGCTAGTCGGTATTCCCCAACAATGTGTGCATATATATGCTCCTTCTCTATTCTCTGATTTAAGAGGAAAATTCTTTTTTTTTTTTTATTAGCATAAATGTTCTCTAAACTATTTAGTATTTAATAGGTGAAAGTTAATCTCTAACGTTTTTTTTCTACAAATCAACCCTAACTGTTTAAAATAAGTATAATTAGTCTTTTTTCATTAAAATCCCTCTAAAAACTAATGGGAGAAGCCCATGTGATTCCTTAACTTAGGATATATGTGTAAAAACATATTCTTAGTTGATTTGGGGGTGGTTTATACAGTGGAAGAAGAGAATTTAGGATTGAAATTAAGGGGTATTTGTTCTACAATTGCTCTATAATTAAGAGTCTAAATTAAAATTTAGACAATCACATAAAATGTCCAAATTACCTAACATGTCCTCACCATCTTCCCACGCTGAATTAGCATGAACTAGAAAAAAAAAATTAAAAAACACAACGGAAGAGAAAAGAGAGCCGTCGTCGATTTCGGCCACCTCCGGCCGACCCACCATGAATTGGCACCGGACCCAGAGAGCCCATGAGCTGATCTACAAAACCCCCTCACCTCACAGCCCGATTCGCCGCCGATCGGTCAGAATTTCGGTTTGAAATTTCCAGCCACAACATCTTCCAATGCAGATTCCAGAGTCGCCCGACGTCCAATCCTCCGGCAAGTGGTGTCTTTAGACTCCTCTCGTCGAGATGAACAAATCTATACAAGGTTGCCGTCATTAGTAGTCGGAATAGCTCCGACCATCTCCGGTTAGATTTCTGGCAATTTCATCTTTGGTCGCCGGAAGAGTTCAAGCGGGCAATTTCATCTTTCTACCAATAATTCGGGTCATGTGGGCTTCTCCCGTTAGCTTTTGGACGGATCTTGACGGAAATGACAAAATTGTACCTGTTTTAAACGGTTGGGGGTTGATTTATCAAAAAAAATATTGGGAACTAAACTGTTACTTACTAAATAAGTTGGGGACCATTTGTGCCAATAACCCCCTTTTTTTAGAAGAAATGAAGAATTTTAGGTGAATTTTAGTCAAAACTTAGAAAAAACATTTTTTTAAAAAAATAGAAAACAAAAGGGAGTGAGATGAATGTGTGGTAGAGACTAGAAAATGATACTTTCTTCTATTCACATAAAGGGAAAAAACATACGTTTTTTTATTTTTCTTATGTGATACCACTTCCTTTTAAAAAAAGAAAAAAGAAAAACACATTCAAAGTCAGAAAAATACAAGCACCAATTCATACGCGAATGACTTCAACCTTCTAACCATAGACCGAAACCACCGGTTAAGGGTGTTCACAAAATCTGTCAACCCAATTGATCTGTCAAATTTAACCCACTCTGAAGTTTTGGATCGGATTAAAAAAGGCTTTATATTAGACATGGATTGGGATTTTCTCAATTCGAAAGTTTTGGATACCGATTAAACACTTTTTAATCTGCGAAGTGTTCACGAAATCTGTCAATCCAATTGATCTGTCAAATTCAACTCAATCTAAAGTTTTGGATCAAATTAAAAAAGGCTTTATATTAGACATGGATTGGGATTTTCTCAATTCGAAAGTTTTGGATACCGATTAAACACTTTTTAATCTATGAAATCTGTGAATTTGAACGTAATATATATATATAATTTATCTATGTATATAAACTTTTTAAGTTAAGATTTTATTTGGGAAATTGTAGTAAATAGCAAATTGTTAAAACTAAGTAAATAGCATATTTTAAAACTCTTTGAAGTAAATAGCAGATTACGTGGTAAATAAATCATTTATCGTGTAAATGATTCATTTACTACTGATAAAAAATAAGTTACGTGAAAAAAAAAATCTTAAAAAAATTTTATTTATATAGAAAAAAATTCTTTTTACCAATCACAAAAATAAAATTCACGTTAAACAAAAATGTTTTTACTAACCGTAAATAAACTATTTATGCGGTAAATAATTTATTTACCACGTAAATTGTTATTTATTTTAAATAATTTTTAAATCTATTATTTACTTAATTTAATTTTAAAAATCTATTATTTACTAAATATTTTCTGATGATTTATATTTAGTGGCCCATATTTCTACTTAAAATTTACAAAGCCCAACCCATATTGATACTCTAAAGTTAAATTAGTTGTAACAATTTAAACTTAGTTGAATAACTTTTTGTTATGATTATGTTATGTTAATTTGAGTTATGATAAATAATAAAAATTTTATATTGTGTTTTATTTTGTATGAATGTTTAACAATTTATAATTTTAAAGGTCGGAATCCTTTGAATCCGTGAATCTAATCCACAAAATTTGATAGTGTTTGGATTAAATTAGATCTAGTTCGAAAAGGTTTTGGATCAAACATAAATTGTGGATTAACCTCTAATCCGCGGAATCCAATCTGTGAACACCCCTACTACCAGTAGATTTAATTGAAATGTTCGAGGGGTAAAATGTGTACCAAATTTCAACAAGTAGAAACTTATGAGTCACATAACTAATCAAAAAAACAAATAACTCTTTGAAACACACAACAGAAGATGGTAAATAACTCTAATCAATCAAGATCGAGAGGCTAAAAACACCAAAACCTAACATAACACTGCAAAGAACACCTACTTGCGGACTCAACATAAAGACACAGGAAAGTGAGAAAACCACTTCTGTTATTATAATAAACCGTAATACGCTAAAACCAAATCAGAAGAAACATCAACGCCTGTATTTGACGAAAGTGAAAATGGCCCCGTTCTTTTCGCTTATTTGAGTTTAGAATTCGAGTTTTGCTACAGTAAAAAGCTCTCATAAAATGTCACATCTAACTTTTTTGCTACAGTAAAAAAGCTCTCACACAACATCACATCTTAACTCGAATTAAAAACTCGAATTAGCGAACTGAACGGGCCCAAACAATCAGGAAAAGCCCTTGTGACACCAACAGCATGTTCCAATGGCCAACCAACCATCGCAAGGGAAGAGTGAGGGAGCCGCCGCACTGGACACAAATCGAGAATGCGTCGGAATAAAGCAGAGCCTCCAACAAGTGGGAACCACACGCCGCCGCTTGCCACCGCCGGTTATAGAACTCGCCTTACCTAGAAAACCACCGCCCCACGAAGACCATAAAGCAGAGCCTCCAACAAGTGGGAACCACACGCCGCCGCTTGCCACCACCGGTTATAGAACTCGCCTTACCTAGAAAACCACCGCCCCACGAAGACCAAAAAACCCCTGACACAGAGTCACCTAAGCATCCACGCGCCATCAACCTATGGAGAGAACCACGACCACGCCGCTCTAAACGCTAACTCCGACCACCACATCTCATACACATCCCCCCCAAAGGAGCATATTGTCTTGGGAACTCAGCCACACCAGGTTTAGGATCACCAGTGCATGGACAGACGCAACCTGCCCCCTGACGGAAAAACCTCCCTCAGCAAACTCACCACCCTCTCAAACCAAACCTCTATTAGAAACCCATCGAAGAATGCAAAGTTACACCCCCACCAGCGCAAAAGAAGCGAGAGCTAGAAAAGAAGGAAGAAACCCTATATTTTTATTGTTATATTATTATATTATAATATTTTTAGGCAAAGTCTTTGGTCAGGCAGGCATTTTTTGCCTGACCAGAACGACAACTATATAATTTATAGATTTTTTGTACATTTACATAATGACAGTTATGCAATTAAGTATAAATTTTATATATTTACACATTGTATAATTTAACATATGCTTTGTACAATTTAGCATATGGATGTTGTACAATTGTAAAGATGTATAAGTTGTATGACAAGTTGTGCAATTCATCATATGTCTTGTATATTTACTTACAATAATTATACAATTCATCATACAACGTGTATAATGTCTTTTGCCTGATCAATCAAGCAAACAATGCCTGTCGGACGAAAGACATTTCCAATATTTTTATTGTACATTATATTATATTTAAGATATAACTATTATATAATATATTTTAATTATATTATAATATTAAAGGGTAATTATGAAAAAAACAAAGAAAATAATTTGAAATTGCTATTCCTCTCATGTGAGGAAGGAATGATAATTCACTTAAAATTGGTGAATAGTCATTTCTTTTGAATGACTATTCTTTTCTTATAAATACAACCAAATATCAAACTTAAATTTCATTCAAATTTAATCCTTTTCTTTCCACCCAACCAAACACATTCTAAGAGAGAAAAGAGATGGGGGAACTGTATATGTAATACCACTTCTAAAGAGTTGAATTTCCAACATTTTTTTTTTTTAAAAAAGTAAGCTTAATTTTTACATCAATGTAATACAAGTGAATGGGTAGACTTTGGGCATGTTTACTTATTAAGAGTAGGAAATGGGAATTGGAATTCAGAATTAACTTTATGTTTACTTACCCATTTATATCTTGGAATGAGAGTGAGAATGTGTGGGCCCCACACTAATTTGGGATTGAGGAATGAGATTGGCACTCCCCCCACCGGATTGCCACTCCTAATCCTGATATTAAATGTAAAATTACGAATTTACCCTTAATTTTTCTCCTTTATTTAACTCTCTAGGGTTTATTTCCCCCTTTCTCTCTCAGCCATTTACCATCCTCTCTTCCCCTCTTCTGCCGTGGTTCTTCAATTTGCAGGTAAGCCATAAATCATCCTCTATTTTTGTCTTCTAGCTTTTTTTTTTTTTTTTGTTGAAGACGTAGTTTTGCTGTTCCTTTCCACGTTGATAATACTTCTAGCTTTTCAGTTTTTTGTTTCCTTCTAGAGTACTAGAATAGCAAAACTACGTACTAGCTTTTCATCCTCTATTTTTGTCTTCTAGCTTTTTTTTTTTTTTTTCCTTCTAGAGTACTAGAACAGCAAAAACTAGAGTACTAAAACACGTAGTAATGCTTCTAGTTTTTTTATCCCTCTTTATTTCTTTAAACTCTTATATCTGTTTTATTTTAGGAATTTCTACTATAAGATTAGAAAACTGAAACTATCAATAATTTTTATCCCTCTTTATTTCTTGTGATTTTAGTACTCTAATTTTTTTTCTTTTTTTTTTCTTATAATTTGATTCTTGTGTTATGCCTATTGTTGTTCATTTTTATAATATACAATGTCATACTAAATCCAATTTTATATGTTGATAATGTAGAGTAATCATGTCTAGACTTTTAGTACGAAAGAAGAGAGTGGTTGTAGTGATAAAAGAGATAGTTATGATGTTACAAATGATTATAGTTGTGTGTGCTGCTATGTGTACCTATGTTTCTATTTATTATGAACGAAGGATATGAAGTCCAAAGATGGTTATAAGGGTTTATCAACAATTAGGTCACTTGTATGATTTGGTTTACGAGAGTGATATCAAGTGTGTGGCACAATTAAGAATTGATAGAGAAACATTAGAAGATTATGCAAGCTTCTATGTGAGAAAGGATGTTTGACAAGCACAAGAAATGTATCTGTTGAGGAGATGCTTAGACGTGATCGAGCTACAGGCATTGGTGCTAGAAATGCAGATAATGATGAGGAAGAGGTCCACCAACAAGATAGCATGAATGTAAATTTGGGTGTTGACTCAAATATGAATGCCTTTGAAGATAATTTCATGGAAAATGATATGTACTGCAATCAGCAACCAAGTGTTCAACAGGGCCAACCATCTGAAAGCTCTCCAAGCATTTCCACTCGCAAGACAAATACCAAAGGTAAAAACAAAGACAAGATATTTGAGAATATGTGCTCCAACATTGGGTCGATGGCTAAATCTATGGCAGCAATGGTACCCAAATTAGATGGTCTCATTGATGTGCTTTCCACTGTTGACAAGGATTTAGTTGGATTACAAGCCAACTTGTATCAAGAAATGCTGAAAATTGATGGCTTAGATGATGATCAAGTTCATGATGCCACCAAATTTTAGCAACAAAGCATAATTTGCTACATGTATTCTACAACATTCCGGATCAACTCAAGAAGGGATACATCCTCAAAATTCTTAGTCGTGGGGTTTAAGTGTTAGATTAGCCAATTATTAGTTTACTTAAATTATGTTGGTACTTTGAATTATGCTTAGGATATATTTTTCGATTTATGACTTGAAACTTCTTTTTGAAAGTTTATGACTTAAAACTTAGTTATTTTGTTCTTATTTTATTTCATCATCATATTCTTTTCTTGAAATTGAGTTAAAATTTATTGAGAAAAATACCCTAGATGATTAATTAGGTGTGATTAAAAAAATCTAATTACTAGTTAGTTATTCTAATATTAAGATAGTTAGCATAATATACAATTTTTTTTTTTAAAGTTCAACACACAAAAATCTACTAAAGGGTAGGTAAGTAAATTTATAACAGTTTATTCCGATTCTGAGTGTAAGTAAACGCATGAATAGGATTGGGATTGATTCCGATTTCGATTCCTGGAACTTAAGTAAACAATTTATTTTGACTCCGATTCTTACTCACTCTGAATCATGTCCACTCTGATTGATGTCCATTCCGATTACGGATAAGTAAACAAAGTGGTACGCAACTCAATTCAAATATGTTGCTCATTTGAAAACGATATGCCGTTCATTTGGATGTTGTCTTTCCATTTCATGAACGACATGTTGCTCGTCGTTTTTGCTTACAAGTTCGTCTGGTTCAAGACAAAGAATCATAGATGAGTTGGACTTGGAGTAATAAGTGTGTTAATTTTTTATTATCATGTTATTATTTTTAATTTATTTAATAATGAAAATCTTAGTTAGTTAGTTTGTTAGTTAATACACAATTAATACAAACATTTTTATACGTATAATCATTAAAATAGTAAGGATTATACAAGAAAAGATTAAATAAGGACACATCTGAAAAAATATATTTCAATAAGAACACTCCAGAAAAAACTATTTAAAAGAAGTACATTAAAAAAAGATTATATTGTAAAGAATCTTTGGCAAAATGAAAATAAAAAAGCAAAAAAAAAGAGGCAGTAATGAAAGAAATTATATTAATAGAAATAACGTAGGGGAAGAAAAGCATTTTAATCACTCAATAAAAAAAATTAGAGAGAATGCATGTACTAAGAAATAATAGAGGCATTAAAAAATAATAGTGGTGTAGATACGCGAAATGCACGTCACAATAAAATTTTTCAAAATAAAATTTTAAGAATGAGACACATTTTAAAACATATATATGACGTTTGGTTCATGTATTCAGAATCATGATTTAAAACTATTCTCGATTTACGTGTATTTTTTATGAGAAAAAATACTGTAGCGAACCACGAACCATGATTCGAATCATGGCATGAATCTAACAACCAAACAACCCGATAATCTATGAATATAAATTCTCAAAAAGGAACCTAAATGGAAAAAATAAATAAAATTTTAGAGTAATAAGAAAAAAAAAGGTCAAAACATGACCGAAAAGAAAAAAGATATAAATTTTAATGTAAAAGTAACAAAAATGTGAAAAAATAAATTTTTATAACGAAAGGCAAAAAAAAAAAAGAAGGTAAGATACAAACCAAAATGCAAAAATAATTAAGTTTTAGGGCCAAAATTTTTTAAAACATAGTAAAATAAGAGCGTGTTTGTTTCATATACTCAAAAATGGTTTTCTGTACGAACACTCGCGCAACTGTTCGATTTAGCAATTTGGTCCCTATTATATTTTCTTAGCAATTGACTCTTTCAACTTAAAAATATTTGCAATTAAGGTCCTATAAAAAATGACATTTGCTTTTTGACGATTATGATCACGTGACATGCACGCGAGCTTGTTGAGGGCAATAAAAGTCATTCCTCATCCTGTTTATTCTGTTATATTGATGTTACAAAGAGAGAATAGAAGCTTGTTTTAGAGTTAGGTTAGGGTAATTTTGGTATTTTCAAATAAAAAAATGCAATGTAATACGAAAAGTAAAAAGATGGCATTGATGAATAATTGATCTAATAAAAGGAAATTTTTATGGTGTCAAGAGAAAATTTTCCGGTACTGTGCTTGAAAATATAATGACTTGTGAATTTTATGTTATAACTTGTAAATTTAAGACGTTAGAGTTAGATAAGTTAAGATAAACTTATGAATTTTAAAGCAATATATAACTTGTGAATTTTTTTGTTAGAACTTGCAAACTGTAAATGTTATGTTAAAATTGTAAAAATTATGAGGAGAAAAGAGACAAATACTTCTTAAAGTATATGAGTATAGGTTTTTAGCTCTTACTATTAATTAATATTCTTTTTAATTAATAAAATTTGAGTTTAGAATTTAAGTTTTACTATAATAAGGATGTTTCAGAAATAATCACATCTAACTTTTTTATTACAATAAAAAATTCTCACATAAAAATCACATCTCAACTCGGCCCTAAAAGTACCTTTGCTTCCCCTGACCTCACCTCCAAGTCCAGAGATAAGCAAAGCCCAACACCAAGCCCCGTTAGACTACCCATCTCGCCCTCTACAAATCTATACATAACCCCCACCTAGTTGGTTTTCTCCACGCAAAGAGAACTCAGTGTGTTGTCTTGTGTTATTCTACCCACGAAGGTATCAAAAATGCTCTTCTTCATTCCCTTGGATACCAACAAGCAATACCCTTAGACCCTCTTACCAGATTGCTGATTTTCTCGCTTTCTTTTCATTTTCGCTTGATTTTCTCATTCTTCTTCTAATCTGGGTCTTGCCCACCTATAATAAATAATACTTGTAAATTGCCGACAAATGGAAATAAAAAAGAAATAAGCCCTTTCCTCCTGTTCTTGATTTTACCAATTGTTGTATTCTGAATCTAATTTTTGTGTTGGGTTCTTCGTCTTTGATCGGAATCGGTTCCCCAAGCAAAATCGCTTTCTGGCTATTTTTTTTAGATTTTTTATATATTTTTTATTCTTGCCTTTTCTTATGATATCTTGAAATTTTAGTTTTGGGTTTTTGGTTTGCTATTCAATTTAGACTGACCTTTATTTGTTCTTGAGCTTCACACAGATTCTTTGTTTAGATTTGTTGTCTTCATTTGTTTATTGCCTTTCTTTTCCTGCTAAACCGTTGTTTTAATTTGATTAAGTTGCAGGATTCTTAACTTTCTGCTTGATTCTGATGTGGGTTTTAGTGAATAATTCTTTTCGGATTTTGTGCTATTGTCATTAAAAGCTGTTCTCTTCATTGTTTTCCTCTTTGTGATTCTTATGAAATGTTGTTCATAAGTTTCTCAGTTTCTTGCAGTAATTGCTTGTAATTTATGTACATTATGTTGCATAGAGTTTGTCTCATTGAACTAAGCAGTTCTTGATTCTCAGAATTTAAATTGTAGGATTTATTGGTTAGAGATCCTTAAGTCTAAAATTAGAAACTTGACATTCTGAAATTGTACTCTCTCTGTATTTGGACGTGAAGGGTCCAGCTATACTTGGTTTTAGTTGCGGTTTTCTTTAAATATATTGTCAGTGATATGATGAGTTATTGTTCTCGTAGTCCTGTCCTGTGATCAGTTTCAATGAATTATGCACTTAGTTTTTTCTTATGCTTAAATTGGTCATAGTAGAAATCTAGAAAAATCTTTTGTTATTGTCTTTGTATCTATGTGCTTCGATGACGGAAAACTTTTACTGAATTATTGTTGAGTCCATATGCTTTGCCTTGTTAAATGAATATTCTTGACAAGAAATGTGTAGTGTTGCTACTTTAAACCGGATATAACTTCTGCGAGAGTGTCATTACTTTATAGTGTGGCAGAAGTGTGAAGTATGAACATGATTAAAGGTCAATCACTATTTTACTGATGAAGAATCAAACATTAGTCATATCAGATTTATGTAGATAATTACGTTTTATAATTGGATAAGGCTTTAGTGGTACTTCATCGTACCTTGTTCCATTGGACAGAAAGGAAATGGAATGTGTCTTAACATAGCTTTTTCAATATCCTTATTGAGAAAATTATACAATAATCTAGAGGAATTTTCTCTCTTGTCTTGTCTTTTGTGGTATTTAGTAATGACTTGTAGAAAGCTAGAATATAAACCAATCTAGAATTACTTTGACTGCAAACACAAACTTGAGATATTTATTCCTTGGAATCACAACAAGAAGTCAGAAAAGCACCTTTCGCTTGCCGTTATGAATTTTTATATGCATTGCATTTGACGCGTTGGTCAACGAGTTTTGTTCTTGTTTATTGTTTTTAAACACATAATGATGTTGAGATATAAGGGGAAACTAAGATCATTTCATTTACTATTTTATGCAGGAATCTACTTCTTGCAATTTACTAGATTCATTTTCGAAATCATCATCGTTCTTGTTTCTGTACCCCATTTAGTAATATATGGGCTGAGGTGCACATTTCATGGGAGGTGTAGGGGATGAAGAACCAGCGACGAAGCGCATGAAATTGTCCTCTGGGGAGTTGAGGAGTCTTTCCAACGGCACATCTTCTGTTGAACCTGTAGCCGGCTGCTCTTCGAGAGGCTTGATGGCTAGGCCCCTACAATCTGCAGGGGACGACGAGGTTGTTGGCTCCAAAGGAGTAATAAAGAGAGTCGAATTTGTCCGAATAATCGCCAAGGCATTGTATTCTCTTGGTTACAAGAAAAGTGGTGCTCATCTAGAGGAAGAGTCCGGAATATCTTTGCATTCCTCTTCTGTAAATCTGTTTATGCAGCAGGTACGTGACGGTAACTGGAACGAAAGCGTGACCACATTGCGCAAAATTGGTGTACCCGACGAAAGCATTGTAAAATCTGCTTCCTTCCTGATTCTAGAGCAGAAGTTTTTCGAACATTTGGCTGGAGAAAAGCTCATGGATGCATTGAAAACACTAAGGACTGAGATTGCACCTCTTTGCATTAATGGTAGTAGAGTTCATGAGCTCTCTTCATACTTAGTTGCTCCTTCATTGTTTGGTCAAAGTAATGTTAGTATGGTCAAGGCCAAGCCAAAGCTTCTGGAGGAATTGCAGGAACTGCTTCCTCCAACAATTATGGTTCCTGAAAGTCGGTTGGAACATCTAGTTGAACAGGCTCTTGTCTTGCAAAGGGATGCTTGCTTCTTTCACAACTCATTGAATGAAGAAATGTCATTGTACACTGATCATTTCTGCGGGAGAGATCAGATTCCTTCTCGTACTCTACAGGTTAGGAAAGTTCCTTCTTTATGTATATGTTTTATTTGAAAGGACACGCACATATGTTTGTAGTTGTTATTTTGATGTTTTGATCTGGTCTTAATTATGTCATCTCTAATTCTTTAGTCTTTTCTAGTCCTGTGGTTTGAGTGTCAGGCGTTTCATCATGAGCTATAAAAATAGTTTTCTGTCCGTCATTTGTTTCGGCTCCATCTAGCCATTATTCTGAAAGTAGAAGGGTTTTAGTACTAAGCAGTATGTGGTTTTCTTATTTTCATGAACTCTGTGTGTGTGTGTGTGTGTGTGTTTCCCCTTGAAGAAGCATTATGAAAGTTATTTGGTGAATGGAGAAAAACCATTACTTCTCTTTCTGGTATTTTATGAAATGTCTAAAGGTTGAGGATACTAAGTAGCTATTTCATTACACATTTCAAATCTTTCAAAGTACCAGCTCAATACTCTCCTCAAGGAGTGGACTTCTAATCCTCTTTCGATTATTACGATATGAATTTGGTTTTCAATGTTTCGGGGTACAGGGATATGTACTTAGATATCTTTTGCTGCTATTTACACAGATATTACAAGAACACACTGATGAAGTTTGGTTTGTGCAATTTTCACATAACGGGAGATACTTAGCGTCATCCTCCAATGACAAATCCACAATAATTTGGGAGGTAAAGAAATGTTACTTTGTGATAGTTTTATAATCTTCTTCCTGCTTACCTTTTTCCTGTGTTATATAGTTTCTTTGTTATTAAGTGGACAAAACTTTGAGTTCCTGTCATTAAATTTGATTACATAGAGAGCATGTTGAAATGTTTATACCTCACATGGAGGATTATGTTTCTTTCACTAAGAAGTGAATGCTTTTTTCCTCATTTCTCTTTATTAGGGCTAAAAAATCGTCTGCTCATTTCACCTCTTAGGCTTACATTATTCCATTTCCATTCAGGAATGTGGAAGTTGTTTGCAATTGACTTGTCAATTATTTTTGGATAGCATCAATTATTCCTATGCTCTTAATGTTTCTTTTTTTGTTCATAGGTCGATGTGAATGGTCGAGTTTCACTTAAGCATAGATTGTGTGGTCACCAGAAACCGGTGTCCTCGGTATCATGGAGTCCTGATGACCATCAGCTGCTCACCTGTGGAGTGGAGGAGGCCGTCAGGCGTTGGGATGTTTCTTCTGGTGAATGTCTCCTCGTTTATGAAAAACCTGGTCTTGGCCTCGTGTCCTGTGGGTGGTTTCCAGATGGAAAATTGATATTCTCTGGTGTCAATGACAAGAGTATCTGCATGTGGGAGTTAGATGGGAAAGAGATGGAGTGTTGGAAAGGGCAACGGACTTTAAGGATATCTGATCTGGAGATTACAAGTGATGGGAAGCAGGTTATTAGTATCTCTGGAGAAACTGCAATATTGCTACTTGACAGGGAGGCTAAAGTGGAGAGATTGATCGAAGAGGATCAAACCATAACTTCATTTTCAATGTCGAAGGACAATAGGTTCTTGCTGGTTAATCTTCTGAACCAAGAAATTCATCTTTGGAACATACAAGGAGAAATAAAGCTTGTTACCAAGTACAAAGGTCATAAACGCACTCGTTTTGTTATTAGGTCTTGTTTTGGTGGGACCGAGCAAGCTTTTATTGCTAGTGGTAGTGAGGATTCACAGGTAACCAATCTGGCAATGCCTATTCAGGTTTTTCTATTTGTTTATCATTTACTTGTCATATTTAAATTTTCATGCAAGACATTTATCTAATGTTCATATGATTATGAATTTTCATTTTTAATCCCGAGGCCAAAACTTTTATGCCCTGATGATTGACTTGTTAGGAAAACATTTCACTATAATTTATGATGGGGTTCTTGTCAAGTACCTCTTTTTATCCCCATGCTTACTTGTTCTACTATGAGACTTTCCGTAACCTTTTAGAGCCAAGCCTTATCCCTGCTCCAGAACAATTTTGAAGTGAAGATGGCTTGGTAGCTGCACCAGATTGTTGTTCAATTATGAATGCCTATAATTGCAGATTTTTATTGCTTTACTTTTTTAACACGTTGAATTGAAACAAACAAACTTGGTGCGGAAAATGTGGCTGGCAAATTCTTGTGTTTGACATGTCAATGGATGGTTCTTCATCTGAAATGCAGGTCTACATCTGGCATAGAGGAACAGGGGAGCTCATCGAGGCGTTACCAGGTCATTCAGGAGCTGTTAACTGCGTAAGTTGGAATCCTGTAAATCCTCACATGTTAGCCTCGGCCAGTGATGATCGTACGATTCGGATATGGGGCTTAAACAATCTAAATGTGAAGTCCAAGGGTAAGGATGCACACAGCAATGGCATCCATTACTGCAACGGGAAAACTTGAACTGAGGTCTAATGAAAACATATATTTGGTTACAACTTTCTCTGACCATTGCTTTTATGTAAATACTCTATCATTGTCAAAACTTACAATCATCAGACATTTATATCAAACAAGAATGTGGACGATGCAGCAAGTTTATGATAATAAATCTCCTGTTTTCATTTTCTACATTTTCTGTACCTGGTTTAATCATTGTGCGTCGAAAATATATCGTACTTGCACTTGAAACTTCCGACAAAATATTTCTTTATAATTTGGCAAAGAATTTGGGAGGGGGTGATAGATTAGATTGATCTGAGTGAAGAAAATAAGATGGTAAATATGGTTATGATAATTGTCGCTGATTTTAGGCTTCCGCTGTTGAATCATTCAATCAAAACCAGTTCAAACCAAAATTCTGATAGAAACTATCTAGCAGTTGAAACATTTTTTTTTTTTTTTTAATTGCAATTGGTGTACTGATTAGATAATCAACCATATCTTTCAGCCTTTGCCCAATGTGACGCATCTAAAATCAGAAGCTTTCTTCATTCTCAAGCTGCTTATTGAAAACTTTGTTGGCACATTCCAATAACACAAGTATCAAGCAGTTCTATTAAAGATTTAATAAGATGCATTGCATTTTAGAGAAAGAGATTTTATCTCATTAGAAGAGGGTGCTTAAATATACCGTAAAACGTTTCAGTATGCACAAGATTACTCCCACCAACTCCCTCAAATATGATAAACCGATTTTGACTCTGAAAAACCAAAACCAAAAGGAAAGAAGAAAAGAAAACGAAAAATAGACTACAGATCTTACGAGAAAACGTGATCATAATCTTAAGGTGATTTACATATACATCAAGCTCATGATTAGACTCTTAAGCAACACTGAAAGAATTTGCAGTGCTCTCCACAAACTTCCTAGCCCCCTTGAACCACCTCTTGTCTCCGGCTTGTGCCTTGCAAATGTAGAGTTTCCCGTCCTTCACGGAGGCGGTGATCAGTTGGTGCTTCCCACCTTCGTCTCCATCAGCTGTTCTTGTCAACACAGACAAGAAGTAGTACTGCTTCCCACCGATCACCGGGGTCGAGCTTTCCAATATATTTGCTGTTGCCACGGCATCTGAGTCAAAACCACCCTGCGTGGATTTTTTGCTTGTTTACTTAAATTCCATCAGAAATATTATTCCTATGCATTCTGCTAGTAATCCGACTACAAACTAAAAAAAGGAAAAAGCTATTGATTAATCAAATTCTCAGTCTTCTTCATTCATCATGAATTAGAGAATCAATTACCTCAGAATCAGTTTTGCCAGAGTAGGCTTGTTTCCCCAGCAAATAGTCCACCTACGAAAACCCAGTAGGAGCTGATGAATTAGCTTATGGCACTACATACCCACTTGTAAACAGATCAATAGTGCCAATTTAGTATTGCTTTTTGAGGCCCCGAAAATCTCTTGCATATAATAATATTATCCAAGTAGCGTGTATTGTAAAAGCGTCCAAAAATAAATTGAACAAGACACCAACACACTTCTACAGTCATTAGAAGAAGTTAGAATTTTTAACTTTTGCGTTCTGCTTCTGCTTCTACTTCTACTTCTCCTTTTGCTACAAGTAAAAGCATAACTTCTTTATAAGCACAACAAATCCCGAACTTAGCCCGAGTATCTTATGTGGTTTCGATTAGAAACTTTGATGACGAATTATGTAAGAACATGGTTATTTTTTGTCACTAATGTTTATAATATGTGTGTATGTATATGTTTACCTTGGACAGAAATTCCTCAGGGGAACCATAGTCAGTGATGGATTTCTTGTCAGTTGGGGTGACAAGGACAGCTACATTGGTGGTGGAGTCAAAGTTGTCCTCATACCTAAGGACTTGGCCTGGGTATTCCACTTCTTTGCTTGGGTTCCACTTTGAGGGAATGGACAGCTTGAATCCATCTCCATTGTATGGCAAGAAGTCTGTGTTTGTCTTTGGCTTTCCAAATATGTTGGCTGCACTTAAACCATCATTTTCTTTAGTTAATTAACAATCATAATTCATGGCTGAATTAATCTCATTATTAGATTGGAGTAATCTTGTACCAAAAATAGCCAGAAACCAAAGTCAATATTATACTATTAATGCTGCTAATTTGAGCAAGTTTTCAATTAGCTCTATATGTGTGCATCTACTTATATCTGACATGACCAATGATATATGGTAAACTCATAAGAGGGTATCAACTTAATTTTGAGAGAAACTGACTATAAACCCTTTTCTACAATTTTTCTCTTACCATGCCGCCCCCACATGATTTTTTTTTTCCCTTATAATTTTGTGTGTATATTTTACTGAAATTTATAGTTTGTCCCCCTCAAATTTCTGAAACTATAGTCTATATATCCCCTGATCATTATGATAATAATCATAGACATTAATCCACTAGTCTTATCACGAGAACATAGTTTATAAAATTCATGAAAATATGGCATACATAAATACATAGATAAAATATATAGATGTGACAAATATAAGGTACGTAAGTGGTACATACCAGATTCTCCATAGGCAGCATCAGCAGGGGAAACCTTGGAGCCAAGGGCAGCAGCACCAAAGAGGATAGTGAGGGCCAAACGGCGAGACATGGCGCTGCCATCTTCGTCATTTATGGCCTGCTTCTGAGCCCGGCAAATCAACTGAGCCGGCCTAACATTGCCGACCAATTGTCGCTGCGACGAGGAGGAGGAGGATCTAGCCGCGGCGGTGAGAGCGTGGTGGTGAAGAAAGCAAGAGGTGGAGGCCATATTGTCAAAATAATAAGAATAAGACCAAGAAGCTCAGCTAGTTTTTGCAAAGCTTATTGTTTGTGTCGAAGCAAAGTTTTAATGAGCGGAGAGAAAATGTGTGGTATATTGGGCTAATGTCAGCCAGGGAAATGGCCCTTTTGGATGTTGCTACGTTTGATATGTGAAGGGAAATGGTTGGTTTTGGATATTGGATGGGCAAGTTTGGATCATGGGGAGATTACATTTTTGATCTGGGATAAGGCTCTATAGGTTCTCATTGGGCCACGTGGCATGGCATGCATTTCCCCAATTGTTCATTTTTCACGTCAAAGCATTCACTTTCAGGCTATGAGATTTTTTTTTGGAGGGGGGGTGTTTAATTAATCTAAAGAAAAAGGTGTGCAATGATAATGTGTGTGTTTAGTTTGTGAAAATTAAACAAGTAAATTTCTTTTAAAAAAAATTAATGAACTCAAGCCAAGAATGTATATGCACTGACAGAGGAAGTAGTAGTAGTAGTTGCATATATTAATTTTTTTTTTTTTTTTTTTGGGTAGATGTTATCTGAATACTTACTTCATTTCAAGCTCTTTTGAGGGAACATGACCAATATGCTTCATGTATAACTTATTACATGAAACAACTTTAGCCCTTTTTACTCTTAGGTACAGAGCCTTCACTTCAGTGGGGGTGTACATTAAATTTTTTTAACAAATTATCTTAGTAAAGACATATAAGAAAATATATTTATTTTAGTAGGAGCATATATTATTTCAGCGGCGCAAGTAGCTTAATCGTAATTATTCAACTCATTAGTCATTATCATTTTTAACATTTTTTTCCTGACGGACAAAGAAAATTATTTATTTAGGATAATTTACAAAAGGATAATGATAAAGAGATACACAGTTTTGCAGATCATCTAGAGTTGTTTTATTAATTAGATACGAATAAAATGTTTGATGAACAATAATAATAATAATAATAATTATTATTATTTTTGCTCTGAAACAATTATTTTACACAACATGAGATGGATTCTGAGAGTTTAGAAAACATTTAAAATAACACTTTTGCTGCAACTTGATTTTCCATGACCAATATAAATAACACCTTCTATTAGCGTCTCCATATACTCAGGTGCTACTAGAAGAAATTCCTGGCTTTCATTCGAAGCTCATCTCCAAGAAAAATCAAAAACAGCGAATAATTATGAAACCAAAAACCATCAGAATCATAGCTTACTAAAACTTCAATCAATATTAATCCAAAAAAGAAAAATAGTGAGAGATAGATTGGAATATCATAAATCATAAATAAATTATTAAAAAGGAAGAAAAATCCCAATCGAAATTGAAATAATCCATAAATTATGCATTTAATATTGACCAAATCTATATGAACATCAGAAAACTCACCTAAAAAACAAAGAACAAGGAGAAAATGGATTTTTTTTTTTTTTTAAGAAAAGAAAAGCACGCATCCTCTCTTTTTATATAACTAATAGAAATAAGCTACTCCTAAATCCGGAAAAATCTTTTTCTTTCATGAGTTTTCGTTATTACGGGTTATTATTTTTTAATTACTATGAGTGTTTTTTTAAGGGAAAATTTCATTACTAAATTAACAAATTACATAAATAGTCATAAACGACTACAAGTTACAAGTGAATTCGACTCTAGTCATTGAGTGGATCCACCAGTAAAGACGGATGAAGCATAAGGGCAAGCACAAGCGTCGAGAGCTAGTGAAAAAAGACCCGCTTGGCACAAATAAAATTGAATGCAACGAATCACTACAATCGGTAGATAAAACTAGTCGATTGAGAACAAACTCCTAATATTGAGGACACAAGTGATACAACCTAGAAATAAATCTAGCCGTAAATAAACACACACCATCATTAACCAATTCAGATGGGTGAGACATAAACAAAATCAGAATGTAGGGAAGATAAACTTGGCGAAAATAACGCTTTTATTAAAATTAACACAAAACATTATGAAACCCACTAATAGTCTCAGCCATAAGGAAAGAGACGTCAAGGACAAGCCAACAACCATTGCACGAAAACCAAATAACCTAGATCTGAGCAGAGTCGTTACAGCAGAAGTGCAACTGCCACCCACGAAGCTGAATGCAAGAACAACCTGAACGATGCTCTTGCGCTACATATCCACTGAAAACCTCTCACTCCTTGCACAACGAAAGCCGCTAAGCCTCCATCTAAGATACCAGTTGCCCCAAGACACCTACCGCCCTTCCTCCGAACCATATCGAGGAAGAGCCAAGACCCTAGAGCAACGATGATACTAGACTCTAAGTCACTAGATCTACGCTCCATCGCCAATGGGCCGTGCCCATCAACCATCGACCACACCTGCACGACCTCAGTCACCGTTTCAAGGGCCAAGAGTCTGGCGACCAGCCAGTGGCGGGGGGAGGCTGTGCAAGGCTCTGACCCTAAGAAGAGATCCAAACTCGAAACTCTAGCCACCTCACGAGAGAGAAAAAAAGAGATAAGAGAAAACCCTATTATTATGAGTGTTCAATGTGTTCATGAGAGGTGTCTTAATTAAGTAAGCTCTAAATTTTTATTGATTTAGTTGTACTCTAATTTAATTTTGATAAAAAAATTGATCAGAGATATTTCTGGTAATATATTATTCGTTAAATGGATGATGGAGATTGGAGAGAGTAGTGTATTAATACAACTCTCCTACTAAAAAACATGAAAATAAATAAAAAGGATTAAGTTGATAGATTGCCCTTTTAATTTCAAATAATATTAGAGCTGCATCTGCATCAATTTGACAAGAGTTAACAGGAGGATCAATCTTGATAACTTTTTAAAATTAAAGAGGATGTAGAGACCAATTTTTAAAGTTTTGGGAACAAAGTAATAGATGACTAAAATATTTGGTGACTAAACTTCTATTAGATAAGTAACACGAGTATTGTCACTTCCACCTAACACCAAAGAGTATTGTTGTGAGACCGTAAGTAACACGAGTATTGATACTTCACCTAACACCAAAGAGCATTGTCCTTCACTCTCTGAAAAAAAATAATAATAAAACAATCCTCCATGCTTTTTAAGTAAAAGAATCCTAAGGGCCCGTTTAGTTCGCTGATTCGAGTTTTTAATTCGAGTTAAGATGTGATTTTATGTGAGAACTTTTTACTGTAGCAAAAAAGTTAGATTTGATTGTTTGTGAGAGCTTTTTACTGTAGCAAAACTCGAATTCTAAACTCGAATCAGCGAAATGAACGGGGCCTAAGTTTTTTTATAACACTAATAAAAAAAATGTACGTATAAATAGTATTGATTTGATTTTTTTTGAGACTGCCATGTAATTATCATAAGCAATTATGTAATTATAATAGAAAATTCATTATCTTATTTCATTGGATCAAATTAAAAATTTAAATTTAAATTTAAATTTTTAACGAAAAAGTTTAAATTTCAAAATTATCCACATTTCTCCTCCAACAATTCCTAAATATTATCGTATATAACATTGACATAATAGTGTGTTTTTTTTTTTTTTGGGCACATTGACATAATAGATGGTGAACTTTAGCAATATGTGGAATTCTATATCAGCCTTCTTGGGATGGCTGATTACGACTCAACTCACACTTTAAAAAATGTCGCGTAGCTATCAATATAAGTAGACCATGGCGTTTATCTAAAGGCTTAATAATTTAGCTTAATAATCTCATTATTTATTTTTTTTTAATAAAAAGCACCATAATCTATTTGTTTATTTTTTGTTAATTTATTGTTCTTTCTACTCTGAAAAAACACCCCAAATCAGTCAAACAACACCGACAATCGAAAGAGAATAGATCTCAACCGTACGATCAACATCGCCGTCTCAGAAGTGACCTTTCCTCATTCTTGATGGACGGTGCAGATTGGGCACTAGTTTCCAGAACCCGTGTACAATGTCTTTCCTAGTGCTCGATTCCGCGTCTCTCTCTCTCTCTCTCTCTCATACCGTCGTCGTATTCTCGAACTCCCTTCGCTGTCACCGGTACGGCCTCTGTAGCTTCAATTCTTTCCCACCTCCGAAATCGCATGTTTCTGTTAGGGTTTTCATGTTCAATTTATGTTCTTTTGTTCTTGCTGATTTATAGATTTGTTCTTATTTCCTCTTCTTCTTTTTCTCGGCTGTGTTTCTTTTCGGTAAAAGAATGCGTGATTGATGCCAATCGTTGGTGATCATGCGGAATATCAGTTTACATTTGGTGAATTTAGCAAATTTATTATTGCTGGAATGTGTTGAATCGTGAAAATATTCCTTTTTTTTTTTTTTTTTTTTTTATCTCGTCGCTCTTGGATGAATTAATTGTTAAGTGATTTAAGTCGTGGATTTGTAGTTGTTAATCGTGAATTTAAGAATTGAGTAAGGTTTAATCTTGGGGATGTGAAATCAACAGGTGATGCTTTGTAACTATTTCTTTTTTTGGTGAATTTTATAGGATTATATAGTTAGGAGAACTGAGAAGCAAAGTTTTGCGGAGATTATGGTGAGATTGAATTGTTTAGTAGAGAAGGAGAAGATTGATGAATCATTTTCTAACATTTCCTGGGCGCACATAGGATGTTAGGAACAATAGTAGTTATAATGAGCATTTCCAAGGAGCTGTATTATCTGCATCAGTTTAAACGACATAAAACCTGTTATTGAATTCCATTTTCTCATTAATAGGGGAGTTGTTAAGCTTGCCCTGGACTTTCTTTCTAGTAAGATTTGTTTCTGGGCAGTTATATCCAATAATGAAGTTGTGGTAGTAAGACTGGTAGTGGCAATAATAGCTAAGAACCTGCATGATTCCAATGTGGGAATAGCCGAAGCTAAGATTTATGGGATTGGGAACCCGTTTTCGCAAAAGAAGTGGGCTGTTCCCTCTCCATGTTGGGTATTCTGGATTGGGATGTTATTGAAAGACATTGGAGATATTAAGTACAGAGATGGTATCATGTCACGGGGGCGGGGAAGATGGTTTTCTGATATTCAATTAAGTTCTTTGTTTCCTATTGAAAAAAAAAAAAAAAAATGGTATTATGATGTGTTCAATGAAGTTTCTTTGTTTCTAATGGGAAAAGAAGACGGTGTTGTGTCTTTCTCTTTGGAGGGGGATCTAATTATTGAAGAAATTAGAGACCTTTTTATTTTTTTTATTTTTAAATCTGATAAATTAGTATTATAAAAGAGTGTAATGGATTATGACGATCCTTTTTGTTATCGAGAAATGATGTATTTCTAATAACTTATCTTTAATCTCAAGTTATTCTGGTGCTTTTAATTCTCAGGCTAGTGATTGAGTTCTACCGTTTTTGACCATACGTTATGAGGTGAATATTAGAAAACTAATGATGACCAGTTCTGTTTTCAGGATTTTCTTAAGGAAGAGGTGCTTAAATTTTCAAGAGGAAGCTCTTAGTATATTTTCTCTCTATGTATCATCGCTGAAGGTTTGAAATCTGAAAATCTAGAAACCTCAGCGATCTTGTCTCCTAAAGACATACAAATATAGTTTTTGTCTCCAACTTCCATTTTCTTCGTATCAGATCATTTATCAATGGATCTAGCTTCAGAAGAGCTCCAATTTATGACAATACCCGACATCGTCCGGGAAGCAATCTCAATCCCCAAACAGTCTCCAAAGACCTTCTACCTAATTACCCTTACACTACTCTTCCCTCTCTCTTTTGCCATCTTGGCCCACTCCCTCTTCACCCACCCACTCCTAGCCCAGCTTCAGAATCCATATGCGGACCCGACACAGGCTGGTCATAGATGGACTGTTCTCCTTGTCTTCCAATTCTGCTACCTCATATTCCTCTTCGCATTCTCTCTTCTCTCCACTGCTGCTGTTGTCTTCACTGTGGCCTCTCTCTACACATCCAAGTCCGTCTCCTTCTCGTCCACTTTTTCAGCCATCCCTAAGGTCCTCAAGCGCCTCTTTATCACCTTCCTGTGGGTCACCCTCTTGATGGTCGTTTACAACTTTGTCTTTGTTGGTTTTTTGGTTCTCTTGATTGCAGCCATTGATATCCAGAATGCATTTTTGGTTGTTTTTTCATTATTGGCTATCTTCTTGCTCTTCTTGGTCGTCCATGTCTTTATCACTGCATTGTGGCACCTGGCCAGTGTGGTTTCAGTTCTGGAGCCGATTTACGGCTTTGCGGCAATGAAGAAGAGCTATGAACTGCTGAAGGGGAAGACTCGGGTTGCAGCAGTGCTTGTTTTCGTCTACTTGGCTACTTGCATGGTCATTGGAGGAATATTTGGGGCGATTGTGGTGCATGGAGGAGATAAATATGGTGTCTTTATGCGGATTGTGGTTGGTGGGTTCTTGGTGGGCGTTCTGGTGATTGTGAATTTGGTGGGCTTACTGGTGCAGAGTGTGTTTTACTATGTTTGCAAGAGCTACCATCATCAAGGGATTGATAAGACCGCTTTGTATGATCACCTTGGTGGGTACCTTGGAGAATACGTGCCTCTGAAAAGCAGCATTCAGATGGAAAACTTGGATGCTTGATCAAGAGTGATGTGTGCATTCATGTCCAGGTTTGTTTCAATCAAATAGTGTAAAAACAAGTAGAAAAAAAAAAAAAAAAGAGGAAGAAAAGAACATCTTAATGTTTATGTGCTGTTCTCTTAGGTAGAAATCTGATTGTATGTTCTTTTTTGTCCAAAAAAGAAAGAGAATAATATCATGTACTCCTTTGTTTTACTTGCATTTCTCAACTTGATTAACATTATGTGTTAGCAAACCAACTATAGAAGGAATTACATTTGTTTTTCGATGTATCAATCAAACCATCTACAGTTGGAACTGATATGGTCGTGCATATTCATGTTTCCATAGACGCAAAACTATTAACTTTCATCTTCTTGCCTTGTTTCTGCCATGTTTAATTGTATCATTTTCGTTGAATAAGCTGATTAATCTTCAGGTTATGAGCGTGTGGTACTGGTAATATCACACTTGTATGTGCATCTATATTTTACTCAAGCATTCTATTTGTGGCTAGTTCTGTTTTTCTGATGCTGTACATCCTCTTCTATTGGCTCTTGCGGCCTACCGTTCTTAGAAAAGATCGTGTGCTTTGGCTATAAATATGAACTAAATTGGATTAGAGTTCATAGAAACTTTTGAGTTGTTTGATCTTTTGATATTAATGCCAACTATTGCAATTTGTTAGCTAATGGCCTAGGAATCCAATAATTGTTGTTGGCCACTGGTTGTTATCCTTGACGGCATCACCATTACTATATGCTGCCCACAACACACAACTCGCCCCTACTTTCCTTTGTGCTCACTTCTTTTTCTCTCTTTTCGCTCAAGTCTTTAACTTGCCTTTGCTTTCTTTCTCCACTCCATAAGGCGCCCTTTATTATTTCTTCAGGGTTAATCACCAAAATGGTCTTTGAATTTTACATTAAATTTTACTATGGTCCTTGATGTTTAAAAAGCTTCAAAACTCACCTGATCTATTTTAGTGTGACAAAGTTAGTCGTGCATAGTGGGCAATTGGCTTATCGAAGTTGGTTTCTAAATGTCCTTGAAGTTCTGTCAAATATTATAACATATATTGTAGGAAAAATCCTAACGCCCGCACTAGATGGAATATACTAGGAACAAATTGTGTGCCCTTCAATCAGTTAATCCTACTTTGTAAGCTATAGAAACGCCCATTTTACCCTGCTTAAAAAGCATAAGGACAACACTTTTTTTTTTTTTTTTTTTTTTTTTTTTTTTTTTTTTTTTTTTTCAGTTTTTTGAATGCAGATGTAATGGAAGTAGTAATTTTTCTACAATAAGATAGATTGGGAATAGTTTTGAGACATTCTAAACATCATGGACCACAATGAGAAGGTAACGGACCCCATAATACTTAGTGGTAGTATGTTGTGGTACCAACAGTTGTGGCAACCGTCAGTCATTGATCGCCGTCGGTTTGTTGTTGGAATCTAACGACGTATAAATAATTAAAAAACCCTCGGTTTTCTTGCCGGAATCTGAAACAACATAAAAATAATTGGAAAAATTGTTTGGTGGCCGCTTCAACGAAGTTCTCTTGCATGGAGGGAACTGCCCACAAGCCAGAACAGGAAAGTGATAAGCTCCAAATCCACGGTTAGAAGTATTTGACAGAATTCGGAAGAAACTAACAGAAAGCTTGATTGTATTAATGACAGAAAATTGATTACATAAAGATAAGGGGATTTTCGAGAGATCCCTTGCTCTCCTAGGGTTCCTTCTCTCGGAAGTTTGTACAAAATGATTTGATGCCCACTTATTTTACCGCCTAATCTATTTATACTCCTAACTCTTATTTCTCACACTAATTCCAAGAACTAACTAACTAGTAACTATTTAACAAATATAACAAACCACTAACCACTTATTATATTGATTACTAATTACTAACATAATCATATCATTACTCCCCTCCCAAAGACACCTTGTCCTCAAGGTGTGGTCAAGTGACTGCAGTGGAATGACGCCATCTCCTTCCCATGTCGTCAAGCCCACCTTTCAGAATGTTGAAAGGCATCCCAATTCTTGAAGAGCCAACTTCAACGGTGACAAGCCAAGGTGCCACGGAAGTGTAAAAGAGAGCAGAGAACTCATTAGAGCCATTGTTCAGTCCACAAAACATAAAAATTTTAGTTTTTGGAGTTACAAACTCGGAAATATCAGATCTTCCATTTGCAGAGTGTCCAAGTCCTACTCCAATGAAGTCAATTTCTCCATCCCCAGCCCCAGGAATGCTGGAATTCCCAGATCCAGTCCACTTTGGGCTAAAATTTGAGGATCCATTACATATCTGACTGAAATTAGTCCCACTTTCCCTGAAATTTTTAGGCTCCACCCCTATTGAGCTAGAAGTAAGCCCAATAATGTTGGAATTATGCAGCCCAGGCCCAATCACGCAAGAATCGGACCTGTCCACACCGGAAACACGTAACCCAACCCTCATTTGGCTGGAATTTCAAAACTCAGCCCCACCGACCAAAGGTTTTGAGCCAAACTTCCCTATCCTAACCATATTATCACCGGAATTGAGTGGGTCACTACTATTCCGGCCGGAAACAGCCTCAACTTCGCCGGAATCATGTGTCCCAGTCCAAACCACAGCCAAATCGCCAAGCCCAGCCTCGGCTGCGCCGGAAATTGTGAGCCCAGCTCCAAACGTCGCCGCGCGAGGCCACCGCTTCCCCTCCGACCACAGCCCACCGTCAAATCGCACTCCACGGCACCGCTCCCCACCGATCTGACCTCCAGGTCGTGGATCCAAAAGATTATGGTCGAATCGTAACTCCCGTCACCCTTGAGCACCACCCAGGCCAAATCCGGCGTCGATTAGCCCTCCCCGTTGCAGATGTGGGCTTTCCAAGCCCCAATCGGCGTCGATCTGTTGGTCCCGTCGCCGATTGGGTCGATTCTAGTCGAGATCGACCCCTCCGCCGCGCGGGTTCTCCTCGCGTTCAGCCACCTTCCCCTTCGGTAGTCTAAACTGCCCTTCCTCTAGCGCCGCTCGTCGGATTCGGTCTCCCAGATTTGGTCGCGAACTGTCGACTCTAGGATCTGAAAACCTAGATTTCGACTCCATATCGTTCCTCTTGCATTCTAATAGCTCTTGACGTCGATCTGCTGCTATGGTCGACGCCACCGCCGCTCCAAATCTCATCTCCATCCTCTTTAGAAGTTGCTCCACGTTTTGAATCATGGCTTCAATCTTCGCAATAGAATAGTTTCCCTTTGCTGGTTGGAAACACTGAAACAAATGCATCTTAAAAACACTCCAACAAACGAATGGCCGTCTTCTATCCTCCCATTGAAACCACTGAAGAGCTTTACCTTCCATGAACTCCCCAACGAACATCACTTTTTCTTGCTCTGAAAATCGATTTTTCAAGAAATATTCGTCTACTCTTGCTATCCACGCATCCGGATCTTCTCCGGAAAACATTGGCTTCTCTAATTGCTGCCAACGTCCATATGTTCCCTCCATCTTCTCTGGATTTTTCCCAAGAAAGTGCTCTGATACCATTTGATAAGCTCCAAATCCACGGTTAGAAGTATTTGACAGAATTCGGAAGAAACTAACAGAAAGCTTGATTGTATTAATGACAGAAAATTGATTACATAAAGATAAGGGGATTTTCGAGAGATCCCTTGCTCTCCTAGGGTTCCTTGTCTCGAAAGTTTGTACAAAATGATTCGATGCCCACTTATTTTACCGCCTAATCTATTTATACTACTAACTCTTATTTCTCACACTAATTTCAAGAACTAACTAACTAGTAACTATTTAAGAAATATAACAAACCACTAATCACTTATTATATTGATTACTAATTACTAACAATCCACCTTGCGCATGCTGGGTACAATGCTACTATGTATGCACACTGTACTAAATGTAAAAACATGCGTTTCATTGCAAATTTACAATAATTTTGAAGTGCAGTAAAATCAATTCGTTCTTCTAACCAAATTAGGTGAAAAATATTACGTTTATTGCAATAGTTTTTTCAAGGGAGGTAAAAATCAATTCGTTATTCTAACTAGCTTATTAATCTTTTGGAGTCTCAAAAATCCTTTGCACATAAAAGAAATCAAGTTTGTCTGTTTGATAAAAGTACGTGAAAGTACGGCCCTTTTTGGGTCCTTTTGGAAAGATCTCTCTTTAACATAACATGTAATTATAAAAACGTAATATGATAATTATTGAACGTAACATCGACGTTGAAAAGAAGTTACATAATCTTTAGATAACTAAATTATTTGGTGTTATTTTTGTTTAACATTAATGTTACATTTAATAATTATCATATTACGTTATCATAACACATGTGTTATACTGTTATGTTGGAGGAACTTCCTACCAGAAGAACCGAATACACACTTGAGTTATTTAGAGGAGTGCCATTCTTTTTTTTTTTTCCACTTTTACTTTTTTTGGCTTCTACTTTTCTTTTTCGCTTCAAGTAAAGTTGACGCTTTTCAAAGATCTCAAGTAAGCCTTAGTTAGCAGCACATCAAATTATATCAGTAAAAAATATACCATATAGTATATTTAGAAGAGTGGAATTGAAATCTAACAATTTTATTTTTGAAATATTTTAAGAATAACATAATTAAATAGTAATAAATATTATTACAATGATTTTTATGTTTTATACTACATAATAACATCGTAGTTATTGTAACGATTTTAATTTTTGTTATTTGTAATATATTTTAATTTCTTTTTTGTATTTTAGCATGACTAGTAAGATTATTTTATTTATTTATTTATTTATTTTTAAAGACTAGTAAAATAAATGATAATGTAGTAAATAACAGATTTTTTAAAGTAAATAAAATAGCAGATTTTAAAATTATTTGAAATAAGTAGCATTTTGTGCGGTAAATGAATAATTTACAGAGTAAATGATTTATTTACATCTAGAAAAAATATTTTTCACATAAATTTTTTTATGACTGGTAAAAAGAATTTTTTTCATGTAAATAAAGATTTTCTAAGATTTTTTATCACGTAAATTATTTTTTACCAGATGTAAATGAATTATTTATATGCATAAATTGTTATTTATTTTAAATAATTTTAAAATCTGTTATTTATTTAATTTAGAATTAAAATATATGCTATTTACTATAATTTTCTTAAGAGGTATAATGTTATATGG